GCAAACTATATGACTATATACATATGGTTAAAATTTATAAAATTATAAAATAAATGATATATTGTTTTTTATAAATAATAAAGCTATTGTTTTCCAATTTATTAGTTTTAAATTTGATTAGTATATAATACAAATAAAAATTATAGACCAATATTAATTATTATCTATTAATTAAAAACAAAAAAGTAAGAGAGAGAGAGAGAGGGGAGACATAAGAGTGAGGAAAAAAATTCAAAATTTTAGGTCATTTAATGTTATTAATAGGTTTTTTTTTGACTTTTTTAATAGATGGGGGTGTAAATAACAACCCCTTTATATTTTATTCAAAAATAAAATTATTATTGTTTTCTTAAAAACACATAAAATCGTATTATAACATCGACAAAGACAAATAATAAAATAGAACATTAAAATCGAGATGTATCTCGCTGCATTGCACGAGTACTCTTCTAGTGGTTAATTATAAATAAATCTAATATGATATGATGTATCGGATTTCAACTAGGTAAATTATATGAAAAAATTAATGTATTTTAACTTGATTCTTATTTTAGGTAACGTACTTTCAAAACTTTCATTTTGATACATAAGATGTAAAATTTTAAACATTTTAGTATTCGGGTAACCGGGTGAAGCATTAACCGGTTATGATGCTGATGTAGCGAGTGATGTGGTATCCAACTCATTATTATTTGCTGACATTGATATCTTAATCTAACCGGTTAGTGGTTCAACTGGTTATCCAGGTACTTAAATGTTTAAAATTTTATATAATAGATATCAAAATGAAAGTTCTGAAAATACGTTACCCAAAATATATAAGTTAAAGTACATCATTTTTTCGTGCAATTTGACATTTTCAAAGTATCATAATTTTATGGATTTTTAAATGAAACTCTCTTTATTCTTTTAAAATTTAAGGCACTAGAAACATACTCGTGCAATATAGCGATATATCTCGATTTTTAATGTTTAGTTTATTTTTATCTCTATCGATTTTATAATACAATTTTATATGGTTTATGTGTAAAACTGTGTTTGAATAAAATATAAGAAGGCCTCATAAAAATTTAAAAAGAATATATCGATATTAATATTATATTAACAATTTAAAAGTTCTTGTTTTTTAATAATTTTTTAGTTAAAATTTTCTATTAAAATTTAATTTAGTTTTTATAGCAAAGTAATTTGTTTTAAGTTTAATAATGTGACGTTTTATTTGTAAAGATGATAATTAAGGGGGAGTTTAGGATTGTTTATAAAAACAACTTATTGACTTATTCCGGTGTGTCATCGGTAATAAACATTTTTGAGTGTTTGGATAAGCAATTTATACCGGTGTCAAACCGATAATAAGAAGTTTTTAAATAAGTTAAACTCTTCTTACTTATAATAAGTTGATAAGTGTTTTGTAAAAAAAACATAAGTTATTTCAAATAAGCAATCCCAAACACCCCTCAAGTATTTTATTAGAACTCAATGATTATTCTAATTATATTTTAGGTTATCTGTATTTAAAGAGAGATGTTTATCTTGTATTGATTATGTTTATCAGTTAGTTATATGAATTCAAACATGCAGCTTTAAAAAATTGTATTCATACAATATTTACTTATAATTTTGAATTTTAAGTAATATGAATTATTAAACCGTACTGGATGCAGTAAAAATGGTTATTAAGAGTTTGTCTCAATTGTTTTATAATATAATATAGATACATAATTATTTCATGCACATATGTATTGATTATGTTTATCAGTTAGTTATATAAATTCAACAATAACCACTTTTGAGTGTTTAGATAAACAGTTTATATCGGTGTCAAATCGGTAATAATAAGTTTTTGAAAAAGTTAAACCATTCTAACTTATAATAAGTTGTTTCATATAAGCAAATCTCAAACACCCCCAGTATTTTCATTCAAAATATAAAAACATTTTCTTTTTTCTCAAAACTATATAAAATCACATTATAACATCGATAGACCCAAAAATATAAAATGAAACATTAAAATAAAATGTATTTCGCTACATTACACGAATACTCTTTTAAAACATAAACCAACAAAATCTTGAAATTGGTATGTTTTCTACATGTACCATGTCCAAAGAGAAGAATGGTTTTCCACCTAACGTTTTTATTTCTAATTTTAGACAAGAAAACCCAAATCTTCGATTTGTTTTACAATTACAACATCGTAAAGGAAATTGGAAACGCTTCCATGATTTTGTTCGAAAAAATTGAAGGTATTACGGTTGCAAATTGAATCTGACTGGCTTGTTCGATCGATTTCAATCCATTTACCTGATACTGGGTAGAAATGGATTTATTTCCGAATCAATCGACGGTTCGTCTCAAAAGCTATCGAGATAAATACCTCATTGCGGAAAACAACCAAGAATCTGTCTCACAGTCTCGAGATGGTTCAACGAAGAATTCGCTTTGGATGGTGGAGGTCATCGATGAAGATTGTATTTTGTTGAAAAGTTGTTACGGGAAATACCTGACTGCATCTAACAAGCCTTCGATTCCTGGAATGAGAGCTCGGTATCTCAAAGTTACTCAAACCCGTCTAGGAGTTTCGAATCCTGATTATCCTGTGACTGTAGACGACTCTTCCATCACTGGAAAATGGAATTCCGCGTTGCAGTGGGTCCCGTTGATGACAGAGGTACCTTCTGAAGTTCGATTGAAGACTCATTATGGCAATTATTTACAATCAAACAAGGGCCCGCCGCCGTTAGGGAACATGGTTACACATGATCTTCCACGAAAAGAAGGGCCGATGAACAAAAGGATTTCATGGCAGGTCGAATTGGTGGATTCACCTTCGGATAATTGGAAAGAACCTGAAACGATTAAGTCGAGAATGACTTTTTATGCTCGAGCGTATGTACAGAGAGGGAAAGAGAAGCTCAAAGGGTCGAAGAAGGATGGGAAAGTTAAAGAGAATTAAGCCACAAGACCACAACCACCGTCACCACGGTAATCTCGACCTCAAATGTCACTGTCATTTAAAACCTCATCAGATGAAAGGATTACGGACAGAGCTGGAAAGATACTGGTTTATGATTGATAACTAATCGCATGTAGGTATATAGTAACATATGATGAAGAGTTCCCGCCTTATTACATTATTATATAAACGTTATATACATGCCTTCCAAACAAAGGGCCTGCATAGAACCTTCGTCGACATTTGCCAACACGAAAACGTACATTTTAACCTCCTGATCGAAAAATGACATTGTAAAAACTCTTTATACAAATATAGTTAAAACTACGATGAGTTACGCGTTTGGACCTTGTGGTTACCGAAAAACACATTGTGCATCCCCCAAATTATCTATGCTATATTATAAAACATTTGACAAAACTCTTAAAAACCATTTCTTATACATAAAGTACTTATACATAAAATACTGTTTATTGATGTATATTACTTAAAATTCAAGATTACAAGTAAATAATGCACACGTACAACTTATTAAAGTTTCATGTTTGAATTCGTGTGATTAACTGCATATACATATAATCAAATACTGGATAAAGATTTTATTTTAAATATAGAAAATCTAAAATATAATTAGGATAATCATTCTGTTATAACAGAATACTTAATTATAATCTTTATAAAAATTATATTATTAAATTAAAAATAAAATTACTTCGTAATTAAACCTAAATAAAATTATAATAAAAATCGAATTAAATAAATTACACAACAAAACAAGTACTTTTAAATGGTTAACTTGCTACTAATATCGATATATTTTTTTAAAAATATTAAGATATCTTCAAATTTATATTTTATTCAAAAATAAAAAATTTATCGTTTTTCTCAAAACCATATAAAACTTTATTATAACATCGACATGTGACATAATAAAACGAAACATTAAAATGGAGATGTATTTCGCTGTATTGCATGATTACCCTTCTAGTTTTTATAGAAAAGAACTAGGCTTATATTTTCTCACGTCTTGGGTCTTTATGAGTTACAATTTGTAACGCTCTTGTCCTGTCATTAACTTCGTTTAAAAACTTATGTAAACTAAGGGGTAGTTTGGTACTTTACTCTTTTATTTTTCCCCTTTTAAAAAATAAATATGAGTATCATATTATATTATATAATATTTGATTTAATAAATTAAAAATAATAGTATAAAACTATTATTATAACAAAAAAGTATTGTACCGAAAGCTCATAATTAAGTAGAAAAAGGAAATATACGTCGATTTTTTTTATAAAATACGTCAAATAACGTCTTTAAAACACGCCTCATCTCACACAAATGCGAGGGTTGATATGACGTCAGCGAACCATCTTGCACCATGACACGTCTTTTAAAACTTTAGTTTTAAAGTTGTATTTAGACGTGTAAGGCAGATAAATGTAATTTTGGATAATAACATTCGAGCTGCTTATTTTTAGTTGTTAATAATGTTGTTGATGCATATGACTTAAAATTTAAGTTTACAAGTAATTGTACGTAAGTAAAACTTATTAAAGCTTCATGTTTGAATTCATGTAACCAACTACAGGTAAACATAATTAAATAAAAGATAAACATCTTAATTTAAATATAAAAAATTTAAAATATAATTAAAATAATCATTGACTTCTAACAAAAAAAAAATACTTAATTATTATATTTGTAAAAAAATTATAAGTTTGGTACTAATATCAATATTTTTTTAATTGTTTATGATATATTTTATTCAAAAATAAAAACGTTACGCTTTTTCAAAACCACATAAATCCGTATTATAACATCGACTGAGACAAAAAGGAAATAAAACGAAACATTAAAATCGAAATATATCTCGTTATATTATACGAATACTGTCCTTTAAAAACAACCGCACCATAAATAATATCGGAAAAATAAGAATGCCCAGATAGGAATCAACATGAAATACACGTTATCCTTTAAATTAATCAATTTCAAGTCTTGTTTAGAGCAGATTTAAATGCCATCCATAAAAGCCAACCTGATAACGTTCATCACCTTTCCCCTCTTTTTGAACCTTCAATCCAGTCTTCTTGTGTGTGTGTTTTCATCACCTTGCTTTCACCATTTTGTCAATCTGAAACAACAATTCAGAGTGGCGGAATGGAGTATTTCATCAGGGCAAACGCCGTCCGGCTAAGGAGCCACCACCGGAAATACCTATTAGCGGATGACGACGGCGAACACGTGTCCCAGGACCGCCAAGGCACGGTAAAAAACGCCCGGTGGACGGTCGAATTCGACGAAAATTATGACGGTGTTATCCGATTGAAGTCATGTTATGGCCGGTACCTCACCGCCTCCGAGGATCCTCACATCCTCGGCGTCACCGGTCAAAAAGTGATTCAAAGCATTCCTCCGAGAATTGATTCCTCCGTTGAATGGGAACCGGTGTTAGAAGGATCTAAAGTTCGTCTGAAAACTCGATACGGTAATTATTTACGAGCTAATGGCGGAGTGCCTCCATGGAGGAATTCGATTACACATGATATTCCTCATAGACATCATAATTGGATCTTATGGGAAGTTGAAGTTGTTGAGATTAGGCTCGGTCCACTTCCGAAGAAATCGAATTCATCTGAGACAGATCTGGATCTGGAAGGTTCTTTTCATCTCACATCCATCCCCATATCTCAGGTTTGTGGGTCTGTTTTTTCGAATTTGCGATCTGATCATCAGAATCAGCTCGATCAACTGGATGTTCTAAATTGAATCATTGCAGGAGAGTAATTCGAAGAACGAAGGGAGGATGATTTACTACAAAATGGTGGATGATGATGGTGAGATTGTTGATGCAGAAGGATCGTTTCTGTTCAAGGGGAATTGCATACAGGAATTGACTCAAAATTTGGAGGAAGAAACGGAGCTGGAGAATATTACTGTGTGTTCTCGCAGCCCTTTGAACGGGAAGCTTTACCCTCTCCGGCTAGCTTTGCCGCCCAATAACACAACTATGCACGTCRTTGTAGTCCCTGCAACCTCCAAAGGTTAGAATTCCTTGAAGCTTTTTTCACATTTTGATTTTTGGTGGTTTAGCAATTTGTGAACAACCATGATCATAGTCAGGGTCCTTATTAGATTCATTAATGTCGGATTTGAGAAAAGCTCTCTCTCTCTGGTATACCATTTTCAGATTAGGTTTATCTGTTGTAACTTGAATTGAAGAGTACCCAAATTCTACCCCTCTGTGTCCAATTTTGACTTTCAATAATCAAAAGAGTTGCATTTTGATACTAAAATCGACAAGAATTTCTTCGTTTTGGATGAAAATTTTGAAATTGCACCAACTTGGAAAAAGGGTTTTGTAGATAGACAAGTTTTTGGAGCTAGGAAACCAAGAACATACATCATAATCTTGAATTTGAACATTATGGCTTTTGACTTTCCTTACTCAAGAGTGGACTTTAAGTTGGCACCAAACAACTCCAAACAACCATGTTGTAGTTTTTTTACGATAAAATATTAAAAGTTTTTCCAACAACTACGTTGAAATAGAGATTTAATGATATTTTTGCTTCAATAACTATGCTATAACCTAAATGAAGAGAGCTGATAATATAGTTAATGATGAAATTGCTAAAATATAGTAGCAGTTAAAGTTTGGTGTAATTTTTTAATAAAGATTTTAACTTTAATACCCTATTAATACAAAAATTATAGTATAACCATTTGAGATGCTCTAAAAGTTAAAAGTCTCTAAACCGTGATGCCTGATTGGTTTGAGCTTAACTCCAAAGGTCAAAAATACTAGAAGGTCTCAGGTTCAAATTCAAGGAGGAATACATATTCTCTTATGGCAACGGAGGTTCAAATGCAGTGACTCCGAACTATTTGCAAAGCAGTGATCGCTCTGAAATTAGTCGGCTTGCATAACAGGTTGGATATCCAGGTTAATCAAAAAAAAGAAAAAAGAAAGAAGAAGTTAAAAATCTCTTAAAAATTGCATCCAACTCCAAGAGCTAGTCTATTTTATAAGTATAAAATTAACTATTGAGAAATAAGTCAAGTATTATTTCTCTCTTTTGTGTAAAGTGCCATCAAAATTTCTAATAAAGCATAGTTGTTTGTAGATCATGATGCTTATTTAAAAGGGACTTGAGCTTAATGAAAAAGCAACTTACAAGACTCATTTTTGCTTTTATTTGTTTGTGGGGTTGCAAGCTCTCAAAAAGCTTGTTTTTTGTTTGTGGGTCCCACTCTTTGAAAAAGGCTCAGAAGACAAAGAAGTCCAGCAATGTTACCCCCAACTTCTCATTGCAATTCCTGTTGATTCCTATGATGGGTTCATGTGTTTATGTTTCTTGTTAGCTAACAACCGTATTTTGTGTTTCGATCAGCGGCAAAGGATTTCTAGCCGGTTTTACATGACGACAACTGAGTACTATTGATGACCGAATCTATTTGTGACGATACATGCAACAGAAAGAAAGCAAAATAAGATGTCTTGCATTGAAGACTATAAGGAAGAAATTAGATAATTTGTGATTCAATGCAAACTTTGATCCAAATCTCTTACCATATTCTTCAAGCTTCATATGTATTTGATTTGGTTTCACCTGTATCTAACATCACGCCTTGCGTAAATCTTATATTACTGACCCTACCTTTGGTTGGGTATACTAGATCGGTTTGGTTTGTTTGTTTTAGATCATACCTTGTTATACGTGTCTTCTTTCTTCTAGTGTTGGTGCATGAAGGTGGTTATAAGGACCATGGATCGGGTTGCTACCGCCTCATTAAGGTTCCAATTCCGATGAGGTTGGTTTAGATCAAGGTTCTAAATGACATCAGTCGTGATGTGGTGGCAACTGGCGAGACCAATCCTCAAGCCTTAGGAGCTACGACGAAGTCATGTCGTGTTCAAATGCGTGACTTATGATCACAAATCTCTATATCATATATAATTTGATATATATAAATACATGTTTTATACTGTTACTCAATAATTCAACTTTAAATTAAGTTATATATATATTAAAAAAACTAACAAATAAGATATTAAAAAGGTAAGAAAAATCAAATATTGCAAAAAGAAAAACTACGGATTAAGCCATGACGTGTCATAGACTTAACATGATGTGAGACACAAGCCCTGAATCATGACATACCATGTAGAGGTTGTCATGAGCCTTTTAGAAAAGTGGGTTGAATAGAGTATACATGTAACATATTTTTTTAGAGTTGAGTGAATTGTATGCTTGTTTCATGTGCTTTATACTTTTCAATTATTAAGGTTCCTAAAATAAGTACTTATATGAATACATGTGGTTTGTATTTATACACAAAAAAAGGGGTGTATAAAAAGTTAACGAAGGGGTGTTTTTGTCTTTTATTTTTTTTATATCTTTACTGTATAAGAAAATTACAAAAATGGTTTACACTGGTTTACATAAACTCTGGTTTTCATCATTCGACTTTCAGAATTACACAGGTCACTCTATAGTTTGCATTTGTTACACATTTCGTCCCTTGCCTTAAGGACCGTTAAGTTTCATCGGATAAATACTTCATGTCTAGTCACGTTAGGGCAATTTGGTCATATTTTTGTTTTAATACATTTTATTGTACAAATGTTTAAAGCATATATACAAACATTTGGCAGTAAAAAAAACCTAAACTGATTCCACCATTGCCCTTCTCTTTAGCAACACCATCTACATATACCAACAATGATCATCTTCTTATTGTGTCTTACAAGTCTCTTCTACTTAGCACCACACACCTTCCCTTTTTCTGCCACCACCACCTGTCTTTGTTGCTTGTTGCCTTCTTACTACCGTCACTCTCTTATGCTGGGATATGCACATGCTTCGGATTTAGAGGAGGAAAACGACCACCTATGCGCTTCCACGCCCCACCTGCCCCTTCCTCCAGATAGAATGTATATGTGCTTTAAAGGAAGAGCAAGTCAATGCCCACATCTTCTTTGAATTTCCTCGAGCATTCTTCAAAGATCTTTAGGGTATTTTCTATCGCAACTTTTTGGAATCAATCTGTACATTATTTATCATTGTTGCTCTTCGTCTTCTTCATGTCATTGACGTTCAACATAGAAGAATTTGCCTTTGCTTATGTATATATCCGTGTTTCCTTGAATAGACGTGACAAATTTGTTTTTCGATTTTAATGGATTTACGTTGGGTTAATTCAAAATGCTATGATTTTATGCATTTTTGGGTTGACTTTTATGGGTTTATATTGTTGAATAATTTAAGGTAAAATGTCTAAATTACCCTCATAGGATTTGCAAATGGGACACTCACTCAAAAGGATAAACTTAACATCCACTAGGGCCTTACTGGAATACATAACAATATCCGAACATAGAATGTCTGATATATTTTTTGAAACTCAAGCAATCAAAATCATATATAAATCACATGGGCCTTTTTTTCCTTCCTTGTTTATCCTTATTAGATAAACAAAAGGAACGAAAAAACAACCAATATAAACCTTAGGGACTAAAACTGTAACTTTAACAAATACAAGGACAAAAGTAACAATCGTTAACAAACCACAGGGGCTAAAAACGTAGTTTGTACTGAGCCATGTGAAAACAGAACAGGATGAAATGATTTAGATGTAAGATGTTGCCGCTTTGGTCCTTTTCACACATTGGGCCCCTACATATTTCAAATAGACATGCATATTCCTGAATCCAACTATATCGGTTTATAAAATCGACATTCTATTTTTTTAAATCATAACATCATTTGATTGAGAAAATGATACTAACAATATTTGAATTTGGGTCTAAGATAAAATAAAGGCCTTGCAAACCAACTCTACTAAATAAAACTTGTTCTCAYTGTAGTTTCAAAATACATACGGTGACACATAACAAATTAATACGGTTGCACCTTTCACTGACCTAATTTTTTTTTCGACGGAGGAATAATACGTTGACACGTGCCACCGTTGCTCTACTGTAGGTCCGTCATTGATTTCTACTTTCTATAAAATCCGAAACTTGATGTTTGGGTTGTGTCTGATTTTTTGACCAACGATCCATCTAAAAAACATAATCAATACTATATTATAAAGCATTTAACAAAAACTCTTAAAAGCAACTTTTTATGCATAAAGTACTATTTATTAATTCATATTACTTAAAACTCAAGATTACAAGTA